TGTAGCCCAGGGTGGTCTCGAACTCATAATGATCCTCCTGCTTCAGCCTCCCGAGTGCTGAGATTAGAGGCATACGCCACCACGCCCAGCTATGGCTTGTATCTGGATGGCCTCCCAAAGCCTCATGTGGTCTTACGTGGAGCTTTTCAGAGGTGGCTGGATCTAGAGTGTTATGCTGACATTAAGTGTTTGACGCTGGGATCAAAGGTGTGTGATTATTAAATTAGTCCACTGATTGTTTTGGCATAGTTCTGGGAGCGAGGTAATGGGAACGCCCTCCCTAGGTGGGGGTGCTACCTCCTTAAGGGTAAAATATAAGGAACAAAAAGAGGGTTGTTGCTTGTTGCATGCTGCTTGCTACTTCGCTACTTTGCTGCCTTCTGCCTGCCATGAACTGTTTCCCTCTCTGACGTCCCTCTGCCATGCGCCACCCTGCCTTGGAGACACCCGATTATGGACTGAAACCTCCACAAACTGTGAGTCAAATAAACGCTTCCTCCTTTAACTTTGAGTGTCAGGTACTTTGTCTCAGTAACAAAAAAGTAACTAACATACTACTCAAAACCCGAAGCAAAAGGCATCAAGGACAACTGTTCCTTCATTTCCTGAGCAAAGAATTCAAGAGAATGCGCTCAGCTTTCTCCTGTGAACTCACAGGTATGTGGCTACATATTGACCAAAGAACTGTGAGCTAGACAATCTACATAATCCCCTGGTAATCCTCCAAAACCACCAACCACAACCTTTCAAAAAGGGGAAAAAGGAAGAAAGAATGAACTGCCAGCATCTCACCTGTGGTAGCATTTTGAGTCTCATGAGAACTATTAATCCTATTCTTCTCTGACCACACCAAAAATGTATACAAAGATCCAGGCTGAAGCCCATGCAGGGTAACATTGGTGGCCATTGTATTCTGGGTCTGATTTGTGGCATGGTCTCCAGGCCACCAGACCCAGTAGGTGAGGTTCTGTGAGTCCGAGCCCTGGGGCTCCTCCCAGCGCAGAGTGATGGAGCTGTTGGTCTGAGTGCACACTCGCAGGTTGGTCACTGGATTTGGGGCTGAAAATAGGGACAGGAAGAGAAATGGGTTGTAGTTCCTGGTTCTCAACCTTTCCAGCTTTTCGTTAATACTTGAACTCAGTCAGGGGGCATAAGAGGGTTCAGACCTGAACCATTCACACAGAACGGGTCCTATGTGACTACTGCCCCGCTGTGATGGGGCACGGTTTCCCAAGATGAGCCACAAATGTAAAGTACACACAAGTTGAGAAGATTCTTTATAAAATTTGTGATGTCAGATCTCACCAATGCTTTCTGTACAGATCACATGCTGAAATAACAGTGTTTTAGATAAAGTGGGCTATAAGAAATAGGTCCTGATCATCCATTTCACCTCTTTCTTTTTCCTTATTTTGATATAGCTGAATAAAGTTTACATGGGTGCTCCCATTGTACTTCTATTGGATCACAGGACAGGTGACATTCTCTATTATTTCCAACCACAAAACACTACTTCCTTTTACTAAGAAGAGGGTAAAACAGCGGTGCCCTCACCTGTAGCAGCATTGAGAGTCTCCGCGGTGCTGTTGACGCCGTCTGTTTCCCCCCACACAGAAAATGCATATGAGGACCCAGGGCGCAGTCCCTCCACGGTGACACTGGTGTTGGTGGTCTTCCGGGGGTCACCTGTGTCGCCCTCTCCAGCCCACAGGACCCAGTAGGTGAGGTTCTGGGAGTCCGAGCCCTGGGGCTCCTCCCAGCGCAGAGTGATGGAGCTGTTGGTCTGAGCGTGCACTCGCAGGTTGGTCACTGCGTTGGGGGCTGAG